ATACCGACCACGCCCCTCTGGCATCGGCCACGCCCCTTTCCACACTGGCCACGCCCCCCGGGGCCCCCCGCAGCCCCCCGAGGGGACACGGCACCCAGCTCATCCTCACAGGGGACGTGGTGGGTGATGAGGATGGTGTGGGGGGTCAGGATCTGTCTGGTCCGGGGGGCAGGATCAGTCCAAGGGACACAGGGGGACAGGGGACGTGGTGGGTGATGAGGATGGTGTGGGGGGTCAGGATCTGTCTGGTCCAGGATAGGATCAGCCCCACAAGGAACATGGGGGGAACAGGATTAGCCCCAGCAGGGACACCTGAGAGATGTGGGACAGGATCAGTCCTGCAAGGGACAGGGGCTATGTGGGGGGACAGGATCAGCGCCAACAGAAACAACTAGGGGGACAGGGGCCAGGAGCTGCCTGCCCCCACAAGGGACATCTGAGGGATCAATGACAGGATCAGTCCTGCAAGGCACAGGGAGGGGACAGGGGACGTGCAAGGGACAGGGACCATGTAGGATGACAGGGGCTGTGCAGGGGGACAGGATCAGTCCCAGCAGGGACAGGGGATGAGCAGGGGACAGGGGCCATGAGGGGGGACAGGATCAGTCCCAGCAGGGACAGCTGGGGGGTATATGGGATAGGAGCAGCCCCGCAATGGGCATGGTGGGGACAGGGCTCATGTGGCGAGATGGGGCTCTGCAGGGGGACAGAATCAGCCCCAGGCACAGCCATTAGGAGGAACTATCCCCACTCCTGCCTCCCATTTTGGCTGGCGTTGTCCCCTCCAGCACGACACACAGAGCCCGACACCCCAAAATGACAGCCAGGAACCCTGTATTTCTTTACAAAAGAGTAAAAACCAGCCCTGGGTCGCATCCTGCCCCAGAGCTGGGCACAGCAGGCCTGGCTCAGAGTCCTGAGCCTCCTGGGTGGCACTGGCAGAGCCTTCCTGGCATGTCCTGTCTGTCCCAGGGCTGTTCCTGGGGGTGTCACCAGGGCTCAGGCGTGGCGCCGGGGCAGCCCATCTGCTCCCAGGAGGTGCTGGCTGGGATCATCCACGAGCTGGGGACCAGGGCCAGGCTGTGGGGCAGGACAAGGGTTAGGGACACCTAGGAGCCCTGCTGGGCTGTCCCCTGGCTCAAGGCTGGGGAACAGCTCTGGGCCCCACAGACCCCAAAAGGCCCATGGGTTGTGCCAGTGGGAATATGTCTAGGGATGGGGTCCTGCACGCCTACCTGGGAATGGGACAGGGATGGGATCCTGTGCACCCCTGTGGACACGCAGCCTTGGGGATGGCATGTGGGGTGGGTTTAGGGTCCTGTGCACCCCTGGGGACAAGGATGGGGTCCCACATACCCCCCTAGGGATGGAGATGGTGCCCTGCACACCCCTCTGGGACTCGGGACAGTGATGGGGTCCCACACACCCCTAGGAATGGGGGTGGATGGGGATAGGGTCCTGTGCACCTCTGGGGACAGGAATGAAGTCCACACAGCCTTGTAGGGATGGGGTCCCACTACCCCCCTTGGGGCCAGAGATGGAGTCAGAGCCTCACCAGAGGCTCCACGCTCCCCCAGCCCCTCACCTTGGTGTGCAGGATGTACTGGACAGCACCTGGCACTGGTTCGGTGACCACGGCGGCCATCAGTTCCTGCGGCAGCGCAGCCGAGCCCACGGGCAGCCCCTGCACAAACCTGTGGCACAGCAAGGGCTCAGTCCCTGTCCCTGCAGCCCCCTGTCATCCCACCCTCCAGTAAGAGAACAAGGTTGCCTTACTGGTCCCCGTTGGTGGCAGGAGGGAAGCTGCGCCTCACCACCTCCACGAACTCATCCACGGTGTCAGCCAGCATGAAGATCACGGCGTTGGGGCCGGCGTCAAAGGTGTAGGCAACCTGTGGTGGGATTGGGGGGGTCATGGGGGCCTGGGGAGGGCCCACAGTGCCACGGCACTCGCAGAGCCCTGGACAGTACCTTGGTGTGCCCGTGGTGGGCGTTGTAGCGATGTGCCAGCGCGATGATGTGGCGCGAGAGGTCGTTGAGGTAGAAGATGGGCGGGAAGGTGTCCAGGCAGGTGGCGTGGAACTGGTTGCTATCCTGCATGGTCAGCTGGCCAAAGCCCTCGAAGTCCCGCTCCCGGATGTGCCGTATCATCTGGGCCAGGCGTTCCGGGACCACCACCTCTGCCCGGTGCTGCCGTGGCACATGGGACAGTCACCCCAACTTGGTGACAACCATGGCAGGTGGGTCATGGCCACCCCAATTCAGTGAAACCAGTGGCAGGTGGGTTGCAGCCACCCCATTCAGTGACACCCACAACAGGTTAGTTGTGGTCACCCTAATTTGGTGACACCTGTGGCACATGGGTCGTGGTCACCCCAATTTGGTGGCTCTCATGGCAGGGAAGTCAGCATCACCCCAATTCAGTGACACCTGAGACAGGTGGGTTGTGGTCACCCCAATTTGGTGACACCTGCAGCAGGTGGGTCACAGTTACCCCTATTTGGTGACACCCACAGCACTGCAACACTTTGGGTGTCACTCCATGCCCTCCAGCCCCATTCCAAGGGAAAGGGGACCCCGGCCCTGCCCAAGCAGGATGAGGCCCGTTCCCTCATACCTTCAGCAAGGGACTGGTCTCCACACTGGTCTGCATCCCTGCCGTGCTGGCCACTGGCTTCTTCTTCCCGCTGACCTGGTGGGGGGCACAGATGGTGGGATGTGACCTCCCCTCATCCCAGGGGTCTGCACCCACCTGCATTGGGGTCTCCCAAACCCCACTCAGCTGGGGGGTGGTGGGTACAGCCATACCCCTTCCCATTGCTCACCACCAGGATGAGGACCCTGAGCTCCGGCCAGTGCGTCTCGGGGGCCACTTGGTGGGCCAGGCTGTCGGTGCCATCAGGCCGCTCCCCCCGCTGCCACTGCACGAAGCCCCCCCACATCTGGCGGGCAAGGCGCTGCCGAGCCCGCCGGGGCGCACCTCCGACAGCTCATCCTCCACGCCATAAGGAGCTCGGGCCAGGCTGGAACACTGCGGGACGAGGCAGAGGGGACACCGCCAGATCAACCCCCTGTCCCTCCTACCAGTGCCCCTCCACATCATACAGCCAGGTCAGAGCTGATACTGTGGGGGATAGTCAGAGGGGACACCCCTGTCACCCCCACCCAGTGATCTCCATGCCATACAGTCACAAGCAGGGGACAGGTCAGAATAGGGGGTGACAGAGTGTCACTCCCTCTTGGTGCCCTCCACATCACACAGCTGCAGAAGGGGACAGGTCAGAGTTGGGGGGGGTGTCACCCCCTCCAAGTGCTTTCCACGTCATACAGTCAACACTGGAGGGGGACAGTCAGAGGGGGGGACACCCCTGTCACCCGTGCCACCCGCTCCTGGTGCCCTCCATCCCGTACAGCCACGGGCAGGGCACAGGTCAGAGGGGGAAACACCTCTGCCATCCCTTCCTGGTACTGCACGAGGTGATAGGATCAGAGGGGACACTCCTGACACCCCCGTGCCCTGTCCCACACCCACCCAGGCAGGCGTAGCCGGCCGCAGACGAGGCCAGCCCGGCGGCCGTGGGGAAGTTGTTCTCGGAGGCGACATGGACCTTGTAGGAGAGGAGGCCGAGCGTGGCCGTGTCCTCGGAGCCCCCCCGGCGCTTCCGGGCCAGGCGTCGCACTGTGGGGACAGAGGCAGTGAGGGGGGTAGGGATCAGGGACCCCCCCACTCCAGGGTAATGAGGGGGTCACTCACCCTCGCGCAGACAGGCCTGGACCCGCGGGTGTCCCACATCCACCTCTGCCCCGTTGAGCCACAGCCGGTCCTCCGTGAAGTCCCGGCTGGCAGCGGCCGTGGTCGTGGTCTTAAGCTGTGGGGACACAGGGCGGGGGGCTCACCACGGCCTGGCACGGGCTGGGGGCGGCAGGAGAGGCTGATCCTGAGCCCGAGCCTGAGCCAGATTTACCTGGTCCTGGTGCAGCGTCACACTCAGGGAGGAGTTGATGGGCAGGATGAGGTCGGTGTCTCGCTTGCCCCCTGTAAGAGAGCAAGGCATGGCACGGCTTGGAATGGCATGATATGGCATAGCACCACTTGGCATGGCACGGCACAGCTAGGGATGGCACGGCATGGAAAGCACGGACACAGCACGGCATGGCATAGCACAGCAAGGCATGGCACAGGTGGACATAGCACTGCGCGGTCCGTCACGGCAACTGTGCCCCGC